TGAGCAGTTATGAACATCGAAGATCTTTCTGTCATGAAATTGTAAGAGGATGCATATTTCAACCTCTAGATTCAATGCTCAAATACTTCTATCTTCACACAGCAGTTCTATCCGAAGACATGGAAAGGTTCTTCCACAAGTTTGTCTATATTAAGTTATAGATTCTCCAAAAAAGCCATGATTTTACAGATAAAATGCGTTTTTCTCAGTCCAGGAACATTTGTGTAAATAAATAATGTGTGGAATCAGCGCATAGAACTGCATCGAATGATGTATAACTCATTTTCTAAATGAGAAGTTTTTCGACAAAAATTTAGGTAAAAAGATTCAGTTGACTTCGATGCTATATCAACAGAAGAATTAATTGAAATACATCTTCAATGTGATTCGTCAATAAAGTATAAAATCAATGCATTTCGTTCATCTCTTTTACAAGATATTCTCAATTCGGTTGATGTTTTGAAATCTTGTGAAGTAGCAAGTTTAGATGATATTGCTATTGTCATGAAAATAAATGAGCAAAACGATGAAATTATAACTGATTTTAATCAACCATTATCGATATTTAAACTATCAAACGATGCATTAAATTTCAAAATTTGTTCATTAGCCTCTATTAGCGCATACGATGGTAAATATCATACACAAATTATAACACGTGATTCTAATTTAACAATCGAAAATATAATACAAGAGACATGTCAAGATTTTACAATTAATAACTGTTATTATTTGGCTGTAATTAATACAATGAAAATCATTAAGAATTATATAAAATACAATCAATTAAATAAAACACACTATTACCTTCTGAATAATAAAGAAATTTATATCGTTTCAATTGATAGTAATTTAATAGCAAAACAACCATCACATTATATAACAACTAAAATGTTAAACAATTATTTAATATTTTATCAGGACAAAATTTAATTTAATACTAATACGTCCAATAATAATTAATATGTGACTATTTGTCTTCATAAAGAAGGTGATGATCGTCCAATTATATTTGATTGTTTAAACAAATTAACATGTCAACGTATATGTGAAACTAGATGTTTACTATTCGATGAAGATAATTCACTTGATTTTTACTTTAACGCTGTATAAGAGGTGGTGATTTTACACTGGGAGACACAACCGATGATGTACAACAAAATGAATATAGTATTGATCTTATTTATAATGAAACAAATTTAAAATGTAAAATGACACTTTATTTAGATAATGAAACGACTAATATAATTTGAACAACTAATATACGATGTAAACTAATAACATTAGTCAAAAATTTATATGAAAACATATTAAAAAGGTTTCAACAAGATAATAATTGAAACAAACAGTGTGGTAAAAAGTAAATTTTGTATTCATAAAGATGATACAAAAATTTATTTTGATTGTAGTAGAAAAATTGAAGATATAATTGAAGTAAAGTAGATAATAATACAAATACAATTGAATTTAGAATTAAGGGCCCCCCCCTCAGAAATGGTGATTTTCGGTCAAAAAAATCGGTTTTGAGATACACGCATGGAAAGATAGCCTGAAGTGTCTACTTCCAGAATCTGTATTGCTTTTGGTTACAAAACTGATTTTTCGGGGATTTTGAGCAAGTTTTCCAAGAG